TGTTGCTCTAGCCTACTTTCTTGTCTTTCTAGAAGCTTTTATTTTTTTTTAAGTAGAGATTCCTTACCCTAGTATTTGAGGATCTTGGTTTTAATACTATGCTACTATATTCAATTGCTTCTGGGTATTTTGTTTTTACCTAATCTGTTCCATCAATCAACTTTTCTATTTTTTAAAACTTCCAAATAGTTTTGATGAGTACTGCTTTGTAATATAATGTAGTTTGAGAACTGGTACTGTTACTCCATTTCATTCCTTTTTTCTTTTCATTATTTCCATTAAGATTCTTGACCTCTTCTTCTTCCAGTTTTATTTTGTTCCTCTTTTGCTTAGTTTAAAACAAATAAGTCCTTAGTAGTTTGATGATTATGGAACTAAATGAGTAAATTAATTTAAATAGTTGTCTTTTTTATTATTACATTAGCACAGTCCAATCATGAACAATTAATGTTCCTCTTATTATGTAAGACTTCCATTATTTCTGTTATAAGTATTTAATTTGTTGTTATTCATTCAGTGGTGTCCAACTCTTCATGAACCTATGGACCATACTGTCGGTTTTCATGGCAAAGATACTGGAGTGGTTTGTCATCTTCTTCTCCAGTAGATTAAGGCAAATAGGGTTAAGTGACTTGCCCAGGGTCACACAGCTAGTAAGTGTCTGAGACCAGATATGAACTCAGGTCTGACTCCTGGTCCAGTGCTCTATCCACTGAGCTATCTAGCTATGTTGAATTCATATAATTCCTGAGGATATCTTAGTAGGTAGACTCCCAGATATTTTATATATTTGAATAGTACAATGTTTCAGCAATATTATTAAATGAACTAATGAACCGAAACTTAAAACAGTAACATAGTACATGGAAAAACCATTTAGAGGTGGATTTTGTAATGAAATTATTTGGATCATCCATTCCTAAGACAGAGTATCTGCAGCATATTTCACTTTGCCCAGTATATTTTATGTCCTTTTTTCCTCTGCTTATTTCTACTTGACATAGTACCATGTGACATAAAACAATGTGAATTTTTGCCAACAAAGGGAAAAAAAGCAATTGTGTGAGTAGGCAATTGCACATGCATGAATCAAGATATTTTATTATTTTAAAAAAGATAGAAAAGAAAATCATGTATATTTATGGAAAATAGGGATTTGTAATAAAGAACTTTTTTGTTCAAGCAACAGCTGTATTAAGTTTTGTTTTCAAGAAATTAAAGAAATCTCAATCATAAAGTAATGCCTCAAGCTTCAGAGATTATGATCAATACCCTTGTTATCCTTCAGGGAATGTTTTGCAGCTAAGTACTCTCAAAAACAGGTGCTATTTATAACTGGTGTAATACCCCCAAAGATTTTAGTTTCCCTTAGCAAAGAAAACATCTGTCTGTTCCCCAACAATTACTCTCTTGATAAACAGTCACCCTGTCTTGTCACCCTAAATAATTATCCTATCATCTTAGAACATAGAGATTACATTGACTTACAGTAAACAAATGTCACTGAATTTTAATATAGTTATTTTATTTTTTTCATATTCTGTTGGCTGAAATTAGACAAATTGAATTCTACTTATTAAAAAAGTATGTTGGATAAGAAAATGCCAAATATACATGAATCATTCATTTTTAAAGAACAGCATATTTATTGGGAAAATGTGTAAATCAATTGTATATGGCATTTAAAATATACTTCGTTGTTTTAAAATTGAAAAGGAAGACTTAATTCTATATCATTTTTAAATGATTATATCCTAGCAACAATGCTAACAAACACATCATGTAAAAGTTAAAATGCAGTAGTGAAATGAGCCATATAAAGGAAGAGTCAGTGACCATATAATATTTCAGTTTCTATTATATCTGGTAGCAATCTAGTTAAAAAGAAATGACAGTTGCCCTGAAGGAAATAAAGTGGAGATATTATTGTAGTAGTAGTTTGGAAGGAAAATTGCACTGTGTTTTGACTGGATTATTTTAAATCCTTGCAAACTATTCTCATGTCTCTGCAGTGCTACTTCTGCTCCCCCCCCCACCCCCTTTATACAAATTGAGTTTTTATTGTCTGCACTCAAAGGGCCCAGGGGCCCTTTGTGGCAGGGAGGAGGAAAAGGGGAATTAGAAAAAGAAAATATGACAGACAGTTTTGAGGGGGGAAAAGGGTAATTTTCCTTGTGAGTCTATTCCTAAACGGGAGTCCTTCCGTGCAATATTTTGCTTCTGTTGAGCAGTCAGTCAGAATCAAGTGTAGAATTTTGCTGGATTGTGGGCTTTGGCACTGACAGTTTTTATTTTGGAGGGGAGAGAGCACAGGGAGGTAGAATGTGGGGAGGCTGGTATTTTAGCTCTATCAGCCCTGAAGGCAGAGTTAGCACTTGCAATGGGACAAAAGTATTCGCAGTCATCAGAGAACTTTGCAGTCAGCTTCAATAACATCATTCCTTTTTTCTGCTTTTTTTCTCCTTTTTTTTTTTTGGCAGCCAAGCTCTTAGTAGAACCATCTGTCTTTCTATTAGTATTTTTGAGTCCTGTTTTGAAGCCACTTTGCTTGGCAAAGTCACTTTCATCCTTGGAAACGATTTTTAAAAAAGTTCTGTGGCTCTTTGCCGAAGAAGAGTACTATGTAAAAATCCACATGGCTGTTCATTTTTGTTCTGAAAGAATATGGCTACTTTGTCTTTGTCTTGAATCAAATAAAGCAGGAGGTGGGACAAGCAGAGAATGTCTGGTGGGGAGTGAGAGGTGTGGATCAAATTTTAAGCAGCAAATTTCAATACTATATCATGTTCATTTTTATATGCTTCTATTGCTATGTAAATGCTTTCACAATGAGATTTCTTCAACTATTCTAGTAGATTGATTGGAAGGGAAATTACTTTTCACTTAATTTTAATACCTTTTTTTGAATTAACCGATTGATAAATGTGCCTTACCTTTTCCATTAAATATGAAATAACAGATCATTAGTGGTCATTGAAGATCCCATGACACTTCTTTTCTAATATGAGGAGTTAGCATCCTGATCCTGGCTTAACTCCAGTTTGGGTAATTATATATTGCCTACCTAAACTCCCTTTGTGATCTCATTTGGATATTATATTCTTCATTTTCTGGCTTAAACTGCTGTGTAATGTTGCTATGTGCTTTTAAACAGCTGCCACGTTACCTACCGAAGGTGGCTGAATTTCAGCTGTGGGTGAGCTGATCCCCATGGACGGTGTGTGTATGAATGCTATAGCACTCAAAAGACTAAATGCTTTAAAAAAAAGTTTGCAAAAGTTTTAGCTTTAACTATTTTTAATTGTTTCAAGCTGAATTAAAATTACCTCCTGTTAGCTGAAGATTTGTAAATTTAGTCTCAGTGCAATTTTCTAATTGGAAAGCAAGGTGATAATCTTTACCTTTCTCTCCTCATACCCACTTTCTAAGAAGAAAATTAAAATGTTTTATAATAGAAAAATAAGAAAATGTGAATTATATTTACTCATAAAGATTTTAGTTTTTTACATGAATATTTATATTGCTGTGTTCTGTGTTATACAGTAGGTTTCTAAAGTGCAAGGATCATATACTGTACACATATAGAAGAATTATAAATACTATGTGTTAATGCTAAAAATGACTACATTGTGGATTTTTTAATGGAGGAAAAGTCCTTTCTAATTCATTTTGAATTTTTCTAACTTTAGGGCAAATATTTCCCCCCTTTAACTATGTCCCCCCTATATTAAAAAAACCAATTATAATATTTCTTTGGCTTAAAACATTTTAAATATATATATATGTATATTATATATGTATATATATATAGTCTTAACAAGAAGTTTTGAAGATTTCATTTTATTGTGCTTACTTATTTGAAAATTGAATGTTAGTTAAGATTTGAGAAAAGGGGGGAGCTCTGCAGACTTACTGAATGTAATGCAAATTACTCTGATGAATCACCAATGATTGCCTGTGTATTGAATTTTTCTAGATATATAAGAAAATCCTTTGCACTGTTTCAATGTGTTTTAAAATAGCTTCTCTGTTCCTTACTAAAGGCAGATAATTTTTAGCATTGATTAACTGAAAATAAGCTAGCTTAAACAAATTATATACATACATATACATTTTATATACACACATATAAATACATATTTAAAATGCAGACATGTATTTTGACACAGTTAAGACATGCAATTTTATATGACAGTCATAGTAGTCTAATATCAGAAGAGGCATTAATACCTCCCCCCACTCTATATTTTTCAGATTGAGTATTGTGTTTAATAATGACACATTTTAAGAAAGATGTTGACTAAACTACATCCAGAGACAGACAATAAGGATGGTGAGGTGTTTGGAAGTCTGCAACATGTCATATGAAAAAGAGTTGGGTTGTTTAGCTTTGAAAAGAGAAGACTAAGTGTTGACATGACAACTGTCCCCACATGACAACCATCCCTACTACATGTAGGGCTATGATTTGGAAGAAAAATTATACTTACCCTGTGTTCCTTCAGAGAGTAGAACTAGGACCAAGTAATTGATTTAATCATTCAACAGCCATTTATGAAATGTTCACCATATGCAGAACACTGTACTGGGCACTGGAAGAGATACCAAGATAATTAGACTTTTTTTTTTTTTAACATAGAAAGGAAGATAATCCTTCCTTACCTCAGCAAAGGAAGACCTTTTAAGTGATTAGAGCATTACAAGAGTAGACAGGTTGCTTTGCAAAGGAGTGAACCCACTGGATATGTACAAGTAGAAGTTAGATGACCATATGTCAAGCATGATGTAGACGGGTTTCCCAGATTTGGTGGGAGATTGAACTAAGTGGCTTCTAAGGTCACTTCTAAGCCTCTTATCCTATTATTCTATAATTAAGGTGATTCCATAATTTGTACCTCAAATGAGAAGTCCCAACATATTAAAAAATGGACTAAACACCTTCATTTTCCTTAAAGGAACAAAAGAATTCTCCCTTTGATTAGTTTTCTCATGTTCAGCAGGTTCAAGGTCAGCTGCCTCCATTAATGATTCCAGTATTCCCTCCAGACCAGCGAACACTGGCAGCAGCTGCCCAGCAAGGATTCCTCCTTCCTCCAGGCTTCAGCTACAAGGCAGGATGTAGTAAGTACTGCTGATTTTCCATTTGGGAGTGGGTGGAGGGTGGGTTCACGCAATTTGCTATTAATGCCCCACCAAGAAGTGAGCTCACAGATATATCACATTTATTTTAGAAAGGCTACACTAGGAGGATGTGGAAAGGGATTTAAGTTAATATTAAATAGAGCAGAAATGGTATATATTTTATTGAAGGGAAGATATATACTGTTATCATACATCTCTGTGATTGTTCAGCTAGAACTCTTTATCAGTATATTTTCAAATTATTGATGGTTTTAAAAAATTATTTAAATGTAGAAATAGGTCTCCACATACACACTGCACAATATATACATATGCTATATAATATTCTATATTTTTAACAAAATCTAAGTTGTATATCCTGAAGTTAGTTTAGGAAAATATAGTTCTAAAACTTGAAATATTGACATTAAAATTACATATGAAGAATACATGCCTTGATAGATCAAAATGCACAATTCAGATTTTAAAATGTGGTCAAACTGATTAACTTGAAATTAATTTCATTCAAATATGATGACCAGTCAGAACAGCATAGAAATGTGATGCATTTATAATGATGTTAACTGATAACTGCAGAATCCTTGTGAAAATACGTATGAGACATACACCATTCTAAAATTTAGAATTAAAAAAGTGTTCAAGAAATTCTAATAAAATTGAACTCAATGTATGGGAATAAGTTGTTGCCTTATCATTCTACTATCTATTTCTCAAATGAGGGTTTTTTATGACCTAAAGAATGGAATAGGGGTCTTGGCTTTGGCAAGGAGAATGAATGCATGAAAAGCATTTATTAAATGCTTACTATATGCTAATCACTATGTAAAGAGCTAGAGATACAGAATGAAAAGCCAAACAGTTCCTGCTTTCAAGGTGCTCACATTCTAATTAGGAGAAATAACACATATAGGAAGGTTTAGCTGCAAGTCAAAAGGAAAGGCCTCACGGTCCTTAGGGCCTACATAGGAAAGGATGAAAGAGAAAACCTAAGAGTACTTGGGGTGAAATGGCAGGTCAAATGGCAATACTCTGGAGCCTGGTGAACATAACATCTGGGCAGATGGTAAGGACTGGTGGACCTTTTCTGTCGGCCTTCATTGTGTATATGGAGTTCAGGTCAACACCAATTTCAACTTTGGCATTAACGTAGATTCTTATTAGTCTACGTTTCTGTATTTCCATGTCTCCTACTTATCATTTCTTCATGTTCTTCAAAAGCTTTCCAGCATTTTTACAAGCATATTACTTTTCTGTTTTTTATAATGTTACTGGGTTGCTGTTTCTGTATTCCTATCACTTCAAAGAAATACAGTGTAGGTGTCAGAAAAAAAATTAACAAACCATTTTGGAGTGAGTGAATTTTAGTACTGCTAGTATTATATGAGTTATATTTGTGCCTATGTGATTATGTTTTCTCATAACTCTTTTCCAGTGTTCCCTAATCTAGTCTGGATTATGCTTACCTCTAAATTTGTCTAATATTATAATCTGCACACTGAACCACTAATTAGTTTATAAATCCCCTAATTTTTCTGTGATAATAAAGTATCCTGAAACTAGAGGAAGTGGCTAGAGGGCTAAACGTGAAACCTCAAAGACCTAAAGATGAGCCTTTTCTCTGCATTAGCTATATAACCTTGGGCAAGTCACTTAATCTCTTCATGCCCCAGGGAACTTTCTAAAACTATAAATTACCAAGGAATTGCTGATCTGGACTTGTGGAGGGAGTCCAGGGGGAGTTCCCCACCAAGGTGAAATCACAGATCTGGACCTCATTCTGCTCCTCTACCCTTTTCCTCCCCCTAAATGCAATTTCTATTCTGTTGTTTTATAAAATACAATTCTAAAATGTTTTTCTAAGGAGTTACTATTTATTTTTAATAATTATTTTTGTTATCCATTGTGTGTTGGTAACTATGTCTAAACCATCATTCATGTCAATCAGCAGTAGCAATGTCTGCTTGCAGACTCATTTAGTTCTTCCAATGGTTTTCTCTTTTAAAGAAAAGAACTAAATCCCATTATAGAATACTGCCCTAAGGAGAAAACCTCACCAGATATGAATACTGCCATATCAAGAGGCCTGGAAAAGGTCAAGAACACTTCTACCTCATTCCTATTAGACAGATTTAATTTGTTCTGCATTGATGCAGTGTGTTTTTTTTTCCCTGCCTAAAAATTGTTAGTATGTTAAGCATATGATGTTCATATGGTACCTTCAGTACTTAAAATTTCAAGTAATATACCGTCTTTTTTGTAACCTTGGAAATCAAACAGAATAAAGTCTCTGCTGCTCCTGGCAAGCTAGGTGCTAGTAGCATGCCAAAGTCTAGAACTGAGCAGAAGCCAGTAGAAAAAGGAAGCTCTGCCCTTGTTGATTGCCTGGCACATCTGATTTAGTTTGAATGAGAAGCTGAGTTGAAGTGAAAAGTAGTCAAGAATTCTCTTTAATTACATTATACATAAGAAATGGGATGGGGAAGAATAAAAAGATAAATGGTAATCTAATCTATTTTATACCATACCTTACACAAGATCTCTAGAATTTCCTATTGATAATTACTTTAATTAGTGGTAATACTGACTGGTTTTCAGTATAAGTGATACCAATGGAATTCTTAATGTCATTGTCAAATTCCTAACAAGCATGTATTCGTGGCTTAAGCATGCTTTTAATCAAAATCTAAGTAGGGAAGAATATGGAGAATAAAAGCATTGGTGTGCAAGTAGAGACAAGTTTAAGTCCCATTTATGCCATTATTTGTGTGACTGGGGGGAAATCATTTAACATCAGTGAGATTCAGTTTCCTCTTCTATAAAATGTGTATAATGAGGTTTATGACTTATATAATGAGATTAATAGCATAATAACTTACAGGTAGGAGATTAGTGACTCCTACCTATGTTATAAGTTATGTTATTATTAGATAAGTATAATATAAATGTCTTATGATTATAATGATCAATATTTCTATTTATTTTATTCCTTCTATATTCTTGTATAATATGATGTATTCATCTTTTTTAAGAATTATAGAGGAATCTTGGAATCATCCCAAGGGGAGGAACAGATTAAGAAGCAAAACGAACTAAAGTAATGTTAGTATTTCAAATGCATAAATATTTATATTTATGATGTGTACCCCACCTGCTTCCAAAAAGGATTTGAAATGTCCTCTAAAGTTAAGAAACATACAACCTGGACAATTAACAAAAATTGAAGGACAAATAAATAAGTTAAAAGAAGCAGGAAAAATAGATGTATTAGGTAATTAGGATATATTCATTTCTATATCTAGGAATTGGATTAAGTTCAGCAGCACCCAGGAAAATATGTTGTTGTATTGTTGTGTGATAAGAAGACTATGAATGGGGAGAAGAGATACTTTCCTAGAAATGAATTCTAAAGAAAAAAAAATATGTAAGTTCTTACTTGAGGGACACAGGATAAGGTAATAGCCATTGTCTTCATCTACAATTTTTTAAAGGCATAGAAATATATTCTGAAGGGGTATTTCTTAAACCAACCCCTATAAAAGCCAGAGACATAAGATTAAATCTTAACTCAGTGAAGGCGTTTCTACAGGAAATACTGCTTTCTGAGACTATAACACAGGATTTCAGTTTAGAAAATCTGGGTAAATGATTGTTAGGCCCAATGGCCACTAGGCTATCTTTCTGGAATATTATATCTTAAGGTAGTTTTTATTATGTGTTATATAACAGTGACTACTGTAGCCTGTACTGCCTAAATTCCAGCCATGTTACATTTTACCATTCCTCCCAGGTTCACCAATACCCTTAAGGCATAAGGGTCTAACATTTGCCCCAGTCTGTAACTCCCAAGTGCAGACCAAATTAAAATCTAATCAGGAACAATTTAATGAAATAAATAAAAATACAATAGAAGATAGATAATGTTCATATGTAGTTTTCTAAATCAACATATGGCCTACAGAGATCCTTATGTATATAGTTCAATAGCCCCTGTTTCTATTTTAATTTGATACAACTACCTTAAATGAATTTAGGGTATCCAGTCTCTATGCTCCTGGCTCCAGACCCCACTGATTTGTTAGGGGCTAGGGGCATTAACGACCCACTCAATGTTAGGGGTCCCTGTAGCCTAGTTCCATATTATTGCTTAAGAGTCAGATTAGCTTTTATAAATGAATATTTACTTCAATGGTATAGTAAGGACAAGTATATTAACATACCCTGCAATACCTGGGAGAGGGAGGATAAATCCCCCCCAACACTAGCTCAGTCTTTGTGATACGTATAAAGGGAAGGTAATAAGCATTTATAAAGCACTATATGCCAGACACTGTGCTAAACACTTTACAAATATTATATCATTTAATAGGAAGAGTGATTAGGTTCACTGCTTAGCCTAGTTCCTATTTCGAACAGTATTACCAAATTCCAAGTCAAAGACTCAAGCCCCTTGTGCTCAAGGGTCAGGTACTTTGATTTCTCAGATCTTCCTTGTTGGGCTGGTTGAAACATCTGGCCTGGAATCTTGCCTCCAAGATTGCCATGGCTCATCTGCATCTCGTAGGGATCAAGGTTCTGATTATCCTGCAACTAGAAATGAAATGAACAAAAAAAAAATTAAAACCCAGACAATTCCCATTTCTTGGGGCCATGGAGCCTAAGAGTAAAGAAAGGAAAGTTGTTGTCTTTCCCCTTACCCAATTCAGTTCATGGTATCGTACTGTGTGTAAACAGGGCAACCCCTTTGGGAACAGCTGGAAAGAGTGAGTGTCACAATCTGGTAGTTTTAAAGACATAATCTGTTCCAGCTATGCAGCCAATAGAAAAGCCTGCTCCCACTCATGTCATAGGGTAACACAGAAGTAGGTTTTGCATTTCCCATGTGGATGCCTCCATGTGAAGTGATGTTGGCATACACAAAGCAAAGCTTCTGTGTCGGTCCGTATTAGGATCGGGTCTGTGAGTGACTACTCCACTTCCAG